TCAAGTAAAGACTTGTGTCGTTAAAATTTCGTCGGAACGAAGTTACGGAAAAATCAATTAACAAACGGAGACGTAACAGTATTAAATGTTTTCTTTATATTTATTATGGATAATCTAAATATTGTACCAGTTATAAGTCATATGTAACAGAGTTGGTATGTTTTATGAAAATTATGAGTGAGTTTGATCTTGGAAACCTATTTACTTCCAAAGTTAAAACAGGATATGAAATTGTTTCTAATACGTCGTACAGGTACACGAATGAGAAGACGATTGATATGTAAGGATAAGAGAAGACAAGGTCAGCAATCTTGCTAACTTACTGAGGTAGTTATAGCTTTAAAAATATAAGCTTAGTAATGCTATAATTGTTCTTTCATGATATAATTTCACTTCTAATCCTTAATAATATTGTTGCGTCATCGAGATCACGTGACTATTCCCATGCCCTCTAGTTTCTAGAACTATCTTGTTCCTTCACGAATGCCCTAGCATTTACTAGATAGGGTAGTCTGGTATATATAAGAGGGTGACAACGTGACGCGGGAATGTGTGTGTAGGTAATATGTAATTGAACTGCGGTCAGAGAGAGACTTATTGTTGAAGTTAACGTTCGTTCGTTATATTGTTTGTTTTAGCGCGAATATTGAAATTAAGTGTATCGTAAAGTTATATTCGGAAAGAATAAACCAGTTTTATTAAGTAAGGACTTGTGTCGCTAAAGTTTCATTGGAACGAAGTTACGGAAAAATCAATTAACAAACGGAGACGTAACAATATTATAAAATAACATACAAGTATGGTTAGTTTGTTAATATGTAAAAAAACTAAAACAAAATGCCGCTAAAACCAGACTAGTCAAACAAAAACAATTCATTAAAATATAACACAAATCCAAATTTTATCATTTACAAAAAACAGTAAAGAAACACGTACCTGTGCCAGAACTAAGTACAAACGTTATTAAATGGTAAAAACTAAATCTCAATGTTATTAATTTCAATAAATAAAGGACATATAAAAATAACAGGATAGGTTTGTTTGTTTTTTAATTTCGCGCAGAGCTACACGAGGGCTATCTGCGCCAGCCGTCCCTAATTTAGCAGTGTAAGACTAGAGAGACGACAGATAGTCATAACCACCCACTGCCAAATCTAGGGCTACTCTTTTACCCACGAATAGTGGGATTGACCGTAACATTATAATGCCCACACGGTTGAAAGGATGAACATGTTTAGTGTGACGGGGATTTGAACCTGCAACCCCCAGATTGTGAGTCGAGCGCCCTAACCACCTGGCCATGCTAAGCCCAACAGGATAGGAAAAACCTAATTCCGAAAAAACATCAACACAATGTTCCAAAATTAAGCCACTTCTCAAAACCAATAACAATATCGAGCAATAATTAGCAATGATTCTAAGTATATCTCGTGAACCAACTCGTTTTCAAGATTAAGGAAGGATTTTTATTTAGGGTTAGACCACAAGATTACATCTCATGTGACTAGCTATTACCATAAATGTACATAATTTTTCCCAACATTAATATCTTTAGGTCACCGCTAGAGGAAGCTTATGTCAGTTTCGTAAAATACATGCATACATAGTCAAAATAAACGTGCTCTATCTAATAGAAGGTGAGTTAGTGTTTTAACTTAAGTTTAATATGATAAAACATTCATAATTGAATTAAGCGATAGAACAACAAGAAATAATAAATGAGCGGTAAACAAAACCATAACAAAATAAAAGTAGAATTCACTAGCTCACAAATATACCAATTAGTTGCAAAATTTAACTATGAGTATGATGTATATAATAATTAGTGTTACTCTTACTATTAAAATTATACTACGGTATTATACTAGTCTAGTTAGCTTTTGTTTTGTTTGCTTTAAACAGAACTTTACTTTGAATTTGATGAATTCATAAACAATTATCAACATTTGAGTATTCAGAGGTAGACGACACTACATTTTGGGATTTATTTGCGGTATTTTAATTTTTATTAGTGATACTGATAGTGACACTGTGCTCTTAAAAAGTGTAAGCGTTGGTGCCTTAAATTTTTTTTATATAAGTTAACATATACAAGTTTAAAGAAGTATTAACCGATTCCAAATAAACAAATTTTTCAATAAAAAAAGCTAATAATAATGATATTACGTTGCTTTTTGAATGTACATAATTTGTTAGTCAACTTTTATATTACATCATGCCAAATATCAGTGCTTTGACTTGATAGCCCTTCATCTGTGTTTAATACTTCTTTTTCTTTTTTAGATTTTGTTATTTCTAGTGATTTCCTGAAATTTAAAGATACAAACAGATTATATTAGTAAAGCTAATATAAAATTTTAAAATAATATTTTAAAAGATGAAATTCAACTTATGAAATTAAAGCAATATCCTACAAAAAAGGTAGAAAATAATTCACACAAAAATTTGTTATACTTAAACAGATGTGTTAATAAATTATAATGAATATCATTTGTTATATGACTGATAGGATCACATATGGGTATTTTACATGGGTTACTTATGGTATAGTAAGCAGAATATCCAATAAGATCAATTGTAAATATGAATGATTGGCACTTGTGTATTGTCTAAAATTTAATAAATAATTAAAATTGACATTTCATATATACAAAATTTTTAAAACTTAATTGAAGCCATCAACAGCTTCCACTTTAAAAATACACTTTACATGTACAATGTTTCAACATCCTCTACAATGTTTATAGAAAACCCTTTCTTGTTGTTATGCTGCCACACCAGGAATCACGTCATATAAAAATGCAAAAATATTTGCATTTTATACATATATTTATAGAGCATTAAAAATATGTTAAAGAGAGAGGAAAATTTAAGTAATGGATTGTTATTCATTAAATACATAGCTGTTGAAAGATGATTTGAACCAAATATATTAAATAGAGCATTTAAGAAATTTAACAAAAGTTTAACTTAGTTAAAAATATTACATTAAGATCTGTTTATGAAATAAACAAAAAGGAAACTTTAAGTTTGCCTTATATTCCAGGATTAATAGGTCAATTGTTCAAAGTTTTTAAGAAACAACAAAACTTTTGTTTAAACCTATAAATAAGATTAAAGAAATGTTGGGGAGTACTAAGGAGAAAAGAATTAGATTATGCTACCCAGGGGCATATGTGAAAGATAGAACTGACAGAGCAAGAGATATAATGAAGGGACTAGCAATGATGTAGTTTTTGTTGTGCATATAGGGGTTAATGATGTAGAGAAAGGTAGGTCAGAAGAGCTAATTGACAAGTACAAGAGGTTGAGAAAGGCATTTACAGAAAAGGGCCATAACTTTATTGTGTAGGGATACTGACGAGAATTAATTGTGGGGTGAACTTATAAGTAGGTCACTGGGGCTGAATGCTAGGCTTAGATTAATATATAAGGATGACAAGATTAGCTGATTGGACTTGTGGGATCATTTTAATTTGGAGGAGGAACTTTTTGGAATGGATGGGTTACCTTTAAGTTGGGTAGGAGCTGGCTTGTTTGCAAGGACTATTAACTCAACTGTAAGAGAAGTTTTAAATTATGACAAGAGAGTGGTAAGGGCTAGGATAAACTAAATGCAAAAAAGTAAGATGTAGAGAAATGTTTAGAATAGGAAATGAGTGTAGAAGTAGTTCTCAGGGTAGGCTTAATTGTTGCTATTGTAATGCTAGAAGTATAAGAAATAAAATAGATGACTTTAGAACACTGGTAGGAATGTGGGATTTTAATATAATGGGAATAACTGAAACATGGTTAAATATAGATGATTTTCATGACAGAAATTTCTTTGAAATAGAGGGTTACAGGCTATTTAATAGGGAATAGAGTACTAAAGAGAGAGGGAGGAGTGGTTTTATATGTAAAATGTGAGTTACATCCTGTTGAAGTTGAGGATATCAAAGATAACAGCAAGGAGAATGAATCCATTTGGGTTTCTATTAGTGGATATAAAGGGAAAAG